CAAGGATTTATTAATTTTTCCAAAGGTATAACTGGATATTCAAATTTATGTTTTACCGATCAATTGGCCCTGATCAAGTATGGTGGTGTGGAATTGCTGGCTATGCACTATTTAATGTGCTACGATTGTGAGACAGACAATTTCAAGCTGAATGTGGTTAGTAATTAATACATTACAATTGATGTGAAAATAATATGTTTAAGCGTAAGTGATATTATAATTTATGTACTATTCATGTAACATAGGATGATGAGACCTCAGTTTTGGTTGATATTTATCAGTTTGAAATTAAAAGTGCCCCGAATGTAAGTTATGTGCATATTATGAAGGACTTGCTAGTTAAAGTGTGGCCTGAATTGGAAAGTGATCCCGTTATTAGAAACTTGGTATTTATAATTTTATTTTAAAAATTTAAGTTTATTAGTTTATATTTTGAACTCAGTTTACGGCTATAATACTATTTAACCCGAATCGACCCAACTTAACGCATAAACATAATGTCCAGTGAGTAGTGAATAGTTTTAAACATGTAAAGTTAATGTTGATATTAATTTCCTTGATCAATCTTGTAGACTCGAACAACAGTTATACATTTATTTATTACAGAGATATTTACTATTAAAATATCGATCGGAATCGGAATCAAAACTACAGAATCTGATGGAATCACTCAAAGACTTGAATACTCTAAGAGAAATACAAATGACATTTGGATTACAGGAATTCAAACAATATTTTTGTTATTTTGGACCTCTTATTAGGGAAATATATGACTTTGACAACAATTACAATACGGCTAATAATTTCAAAAATTAATGAAAAAATGAAATTAAAATGAAAACGACCAGAGTTGTTTATAGTCCCCAACACTCAACTAATTTACATAATTTAAATTTTGTGTACTCGGTATATACTTATATAAATATATTGCATTATAAACATTTGATAAAAAAAATTATATACAGTATATTATACAAAAACATGAGTTTCTTATCTACAATATAAGTAGGTAATTGTTTTGATTTATTTGCCCTTCAAATCACAATTTATTTAGAAAATGTCCGATTGACTGAGTGTGAGGGTTAATTACAAAATAAATATAACTATTTTTGATAGTGTTTGTTGGTTATGATTATAAATTATATGTGAAAAATATTCCGTACATTTTATAATAATTATTTTTAAATTTTACTTATTGATTCCATATAAGTAGAAATGTTATCTAAATTAATGTGATTTATGTAATAAATAAATGATTATTGATTATCGGGTTCCTTTAAAGTTTTCACATTTAATTGATTAATGATGTATTATATCGAAATGCCTGGTTTATAACACAATTTATTTACTTAATAAAGTTTTATAACTAATAAAGTGCTAGGCGCTAAAATAATTTGTAAACAATTAATAATTTATTATTAATTTTAATACAAATGTCTAAAATGAGTGAGGTTAAAATTAAAAAATTATGTATGGTCACACCGCTATTTCGTCAACCATTCATTAGTATTTAATGTATGACCACATAGACTTAATTTGCAAATGATTAAATTAACTATATTTACACATAGATCCAGCTTTAATAAATCATAATAGTACACTCAGTTGTAAAGTATTTTTTCGTAGAAATGCCCACAGAGTTGAGGTATAATATAATCACTAATATTTATTAGTAATAGAAAATAATAGTTATAAAAATTTTTATCGTCAAACTTACAGGTAGTTAACCCTTTACGTTATATTTATATTTTTGTTCTGTAAATACATTTTTCACGTCTTAACTATTTACAAAACGTGAGCCTTACTTTTTCCATTATGTTATGAAATAAAATTTTTAACTAGTTAATTATGAGTTCTCTCATAGGAATTCATAGGATTACAGACAAAAAGTTTAGTCAATAAAATTTGCGATAAAAATAGCCAACAAATCACAAAAGACTTACAAATATCTAAAATTCAATTAAATGATGAATTTAATAAAGTTTACGAAACCCCTCAAAACATCAACACATTGTATGAATGTACGGAAAACTCAAATAACTTGTTGGCCACCAATTGCGAGTCATTTATATCCACCGAAACCCAATCACAGGACTTATTGTCTGAAATAAATGACATTTCAATGACTGTGGGAATTGAAAATTGTGTGACCAATGAAACTACAGACAAAACCAGTGATAATCACCACAAACCACAACACTTAACGATAGCTCCTGTATTCAAAGTGATCACAGATTATAATGGTTTGAATGACTTGGAGTCCAACCGTATATCCGAACTCCTGATGGCTTGCAATGTATTTCACTATCCGTTGAGTAAAAACATAATTGAAGTAAAGGACAGACTAAGTGTTGTAAAGTATACGTGTGAACGAAATGAGCTATTTATTAAAAGTGTGATAAAGTTTTCCAGATACTTTAATGGATTTAGGGCTATATGCGACCATGATCAACTCGAACTCGCAAAGTACGGATGTATTGATATTAATTTTTTAAGCTTTGTTATGAATTACAATTATGACAAGCAACAATTTCTACTCTATTTGGTAAATTAATTATAAAATGTTTATAATATTGTAATTATTAAAAAATCTTTTTTGAAATATACAGGATAATGACAAATCAGTAATTATAGGTTTAGATGTCTTTAAATTGGAGAAAGTAAATCAACTTGATATAGTGAAACAGTTTCTTTATAATCTGACCCGGTTGTTTAACCAGGATCACATAATCCTGAATTTGGTATATTTTTCTGTACAAAACTTTTTAATCTAGCTAATATTTCAATTTATATATTTACAGTTAAGTGCGATCGCATTGTTTAATCCCAATCGACCCAACCTAAGGCATAGACAATCAATTAAGTAATAAATATTTATATTTAAATTAAATAATTATGTTTATAAATTAATTATTAATGACTACCCTGCTTAGATTGGAGCAGCAACTCTACATTTATTTATTGCAAAGATATTTACTGTTAAAGTGTAGATCTGAATGTGAATCTCAATCAAAACTGCAACAACTTATGAATTCATTGCACGAATTGAATGTTTTAAGAGATATTCAGTTCACATATGGTTTGGAGGAGTTTAAGCCGTATTTGAAATATTTTGGACCACTTATGAAAGAGATCTATAATGTTGCTTGATACACCATTGAATAACAAATTTAATTATATCTTCTTAGTTTTATAATAATTAAAAATAATTGTTTACATGATTATGTAATACGTATATCAATATTTTGTACTATGTAACGAATCATAATATAAATATTTTTATTAATTATGCCTAAATGAATAAATAAGCATTTTACTAGATAGTTATCTAGCACAGTCATTAGATAATAGCATGAGATGGCAATGATTGATACAAATTACATCGATACATATTCACCACTAATTGAGGATCAAATTACCAAGCTATATCGCATCAATGCAAACACTTTGACATCACTTGAAAAGTATTTGCATATGAATTGGTGTTCAATAGTAAGTTGCGTCGAGACTTACAATTAATTTAAAGGCAATTATCTCTGGGTTTGTATAATTGTACACTAATCACACAATTGCTATTTAAATTTGCTAAAGGATTAATTAAATAATTGGATTTATATATAATATTAAAACTACCCTATTTCATATTCAATTATTTTATTAAATACGATCAATTAACGTAATGCTTATTATTAACTAGTTTTCATTATAGTTTGTTTAAGCATGATTATTTAATTTATATACTATCACCATATTTGCAGAGTATCTTGATTTATCTCTATGTGGCCATTCAGGGAGCGCTGGCCCTCTACTCGTACGGTCAGCTCACATGCCTCGCGCTTGACTGCGGGGACGGCCTCTCGCAAGCCGTTCCGGTCATCGACGGCTATCCCGTGTGGGACGCCGTACAGAGCCTGGAGGTGGGCGGCCGCGACCTCACCGACTATCTCGTGAGGATACTCACCGAAAGGGGCCATTACTTCAACACTCAGTCGGAACGGGATGTGGTCCGGGAGGCCAAAGAGCGGTTATGTTATGTGGAGCTCAACTACGACCGGGCGATGGCCAACCCGACCCCCGCGCTCGACAAGGACTACGAGCTACCGGACGGGCAGGTGTTTACAGATGTTTTAAACTATACATTGAGTAAGAATCGCATTAAAATCAAGAATATGCAACAATTATACAGAATATCGGGCACTCGTTTGGACCAGAATTTAAGAGATATTATTTCGTATTCAAAACAATTGAACGCCTTTTCAAGTACCTGTGCCAACGATGAGATGTCATTAGTCAAGTACGGGTCCATTGATCTGGTATTCATTACGCAATCACTGAATTTTAATAAAGATTTTGACCAGTTCACTTTATATCAGGTAGAGTAATTTATATACCAGTATATATTTAAATTAGTAAGTTGTATTTATAAATACTTTATTTTGTAGGACAATAACACCGCCATAGTGATTGATTTAAAAATATTTGATCAATTTAGCAATTATGAACATTTTAAAAAGTTTCTATATACAATATTTTCTGAATGGAATCAGGATCCTATAATTGCTAATTTGGTAAATTAAACATTTATTCTTTACATTATATTTTAAAATTATTAATATATTTATATTTTATTGTAATTATATGTAATTTTACAGCTACTGGCAATCACGTTGTTTAACCCAATGAGACCCAACTTAGTTCATAGACATACAGTTAAGTGCTATAAAAATATCCAGATAAATTCTGAAAAATTACAAATATTTGTAATAAATATAAGCACTGAATAATAATCTCTAATAATCATATATTTGTATTTGATAGACTGAACCAGCAAATGTACATTTATTGATTACAAAGATATTTATTCGTGAAATACCGACCGGAATCGCAAACAAGACTATCGCAAGCGATGACTAGTTTAGTAGAGTTGAGAAAATTTGGTGAAATTCAGTACAATTACGGCAAATATGAAATTGGTTTCGACGACCAATACGCTAGTTTAGGTCCACTCGCTAAAGAGGTCTATGATATTAACATTTAAATTAATATTTTCTACTCTTATATATAGTGTACATGTATTGTCGTGTGAATGAATGATCTATTAATTAACAATTAAATACTGTATGTATGTGTAAATAAATAATATTTTGTAAACAAATTGTAATTTTTAGTAATAAAGTATTTATATTGAGTACAGGGCACAGTATATAAACTATTAAAACAGACTATTGACAGTTTTGTAAATTAATCACAATTCAATGTAAATAAAATGATATCTTGTATTCCTAATGGTAAAGACATAAACATAAATTTATAATTGCACCAGGGTGTCCTTCAAAATGTAGGATCTGAAAACATGTCGGAAAGTCATGTGAATTTTCTTAAGTATTGTATTATGTTATCATAATTGTTGTCAAGACTGTTTATAAACAATTGATAATACAATACTCTATTACTAAATTATTTATTAAACGAATTTTAACATTTTTGTTATTTGAGTTCAAATATATGCTATTAACCTGGTTGACAAATATTATTTTACATAAATAGATTTTTATTTAGAAACTCGTTATTAAATATGAATCGTTATAAAGAAAATAAAATTTGTGATGTTTGTGGCGATAAAACACTTTGTAAGTTATAAGTTTAATTAGTAAACTAAATCTCATTTTAATAAACCTATTATTCAATTATTAGTTTACTATAAACTTAAAAAATAATTGCTGTTAATATTAATATTAGGCCGAAATTTTATGGCAAATGCTTGCGAGTCGTGTAAAACATTTTTCCGACGAGTGGTTCGTTTCAATAGAGTAATGAAATCATAGAAACTATTATTATATGAAATTAATATTAATTACAATTTCTAATAGCAATACGAGTGTCCGTCAAATGGCAAATGTGTGATCAATACAATAACCAGGACTATGTGTAAACAATGTAGATTTACTAAATGCTTAGCCATCGGAATGAAACCAGTAATTAGTTATAAAACTGATGTTTAATTCATGTTTAAAAGATTTTATTCATTTTTATTATAATGTATATTATCTGCAAAGGAATTAATACGAAGTACTGAAGAAAACCAAATGAGACAACAATTGATTGAAGAAAATAAGGCTAAACGACGAGAGAATTATGAAAAATGTGTTGATTGTAAGGATCCGTTACCGGTATCTGAAGGGTTGACCACACCTTCCCCTCAAAGTGAAGAGTTAAACGGATTCTTGAATGACTTAATTGAAAATACAGTGAATATTAGTGATGAAGAGATCAATAACCAGATCATAGATATTGAGAGTAGTGTAATGTCTGAGACCAGTAGTGTCACTGAAGTTACAGCTGCAGATCCTCAACTAGTGATCGCACCAGTATTCCCAGTGATCAGCAATTATCACTCGTGGAACCAATTGGAGTCAATCCGTATAACAGAACTGTTGAACGCATCGAAACTTCTCGACTATCCGTTGAGTGAAAATGTAGTCAAAGTCCATACGTTTAAAGGTATGGTTCGCGAGTATGAATACCGTATGGAAAGCATTATTAAAGATATTATCGGTTTTACCAAACGTTTGAATGGATTCAAGAGTTTCTGTTCCGATGATCAGTGGACTCTCATGAAGAATGGATGCATTGAAATGCTTATATTGAGACTATCGTTGGGTTATAATGACGAGGGTCAGAATTTTCGGATGCATGTGGTGAGCATATGAATGAAATGTTTATGATATTTAATGTTTATTTTAATTTATTATAAAATAATCTATGAACAGGACAACCAAAAATCAATGGCATTCAATTTGGAAATATTCAAATACCTGAATTTACCATATTATCAGCCATATAAGTTATTTTTAGAAAAGTTCCTACCTGATTGCAAATATGACTCAACTATTTTCAATTTGGTATTTAATAATTTAAGATCTTTGTACAACAATACTTTATAGTAATTAAATATTGTTTCAATATAGTTGACCGCAATAGTACTTTACAATCCTAATCATCCAAATCTCAAACATAAACAAAATGTGAAGTATGTTTTTGTAAAATAATTTTTATTTATTAAAAAATTAATTTTGAATTACCGGTATATTTATAATAGACTCGAACAACAACTTTATATTTATTTACTGCAACGCTATCTACTATTGAAGTGTCAATCGGAATATGACTCGCACTCAAAACTATTGAAATTATTAAACACTTTAATTGATTTAAACAATTTAAAAGAAATGCAATTATGGTATAGAAGGGATGAAGAATTTAAAGAATGTATCCCTTATTTTGGACCACTAGCCAGGGAGATTTATGATATTACAGTTTAATATTTTTGTAATTTTATTCTTAATTAAAAATCTAAAAACAAATAAAGTTATTAATATCTAAAAATTGCGCCTAATTTAATTACAACATAAATACACATCCTTTATTTTATAGATAATGTATAAATTATATTGTAATAAATTAATAATTAACCAATTATTAAAATAATAAATTATGATATAAATAATGCACTGTATTTATCAATAATAATTAGTGTGCAGTAAATTATTAACCACATCTACTAATAAAATATTGACATTATTATAAACTAATCACAATTCAATGTCAATAAAGATAATTATACTGTACATGTTGCAAACTTTATCAAAATAGTTGAAATAAATGTGTCCTCCAAATGGGAATCCCTATTCATTCAATAGTATTGAAGTTTAAAAATATTCCTTATTTGTATATTTAGTATTATATTATCGTATATTTGCAATACCTAGCAACAATTGACAACTCTGATGGTTTATTTACAAAATTGTAGAAACAATTAATTTGGACTCTACTGTCTATTAATGACTTTTAATTAATTTATCAAATAAATAAATATGAGTCGTTATAAAGGGAATAAAATTTGTGACATTTGCGGCGATACCACACTTTGTAAGTAATGTTGTATTCAAAATAAAAACTATTAGAAATATAAATGACCAAGATTATTATATTCAATTTTTCATATATATATTTAAGGCCGCAATTTCGCGGCAAATGCTTGCGAGTCGTGTAAAGCATTTTTCCGACGAGTGGTTCGTCTCAATAA